AGCGGCGGGGGGCGGTAGCAGCAGCGCCGGGCTGCCAGTATTTTCCAACACCAGGGAGTGTGACTGGGCTGCAGGGGTGGCAGGAGGGGCTGCCCATCTGACCATCCACCTTCAGGCCTCACCCAGAGCAAAGAGCAGGTGTCCTTCTTACCCATGTCCCTCCAGCAATGGGAGGGGCATCCTGGGCCATTACCCAGCTCCTGGGTTATGGCGGACTGAGGTGGCAGCCCAGGAAGGGCTCCCTGAATGGCAGCCCTCCCCTCGGCAGAAGTCAGAGTTCTGGGGGCTGTGGCTAAGATAGGGGGCAGTGGTCACCAGGCCACCTAGGCCCTCCTCAAGACCCAGCCTGGCACCCGCACTCCAGTCCTGGCTAGGCAAGGTGATTTGAGGCTGGGGTCCAACTGGAATATCTCCCAGAGCCCACACCTGCCCACCCACCCTCCCCCAAGGCCTGGCACAGGTGCCTGCTCAGGCTAGAGCATTAAACAAGCAATCGTGTGACGTGACCACAGTGACGGGGCTGTCAGCTCCAGGAGCCTGGTCTGGCCAGCCCTGTCCCACACACATCACCCACTTCAGGGCGAGGAAACGGGCTTTGCGCTGGCACATGCGGCAGAGGGGCTCCGGAGGCACAGGAGGGGGCAGCAGGGGTCCCAGCCCAGGGCTCTGGCTGTGACCTGGTGGGGGTCCTGACTTGCAGCTGTGCCCGTGTGTGTTTGGCTGTGCGTGTGCGCGTGCACGCACACTAGGCACTAGGCTCCTCGCCCTGTCAGTCCTCTACTCCCAGACCTGACTATGGGCTCCAGCACATGCGGCAGAGGGGCTCCGGAGGCACAGGAGGGGGCAGCAGGGGTCCCAGCCCAGGGCTCTGGCTGTGACCTGGTGGGGTCCTGACTTGCAGCTGTGCCCGTGTGTGTTTGGCTGTGCGTGTGCGCGTGCACGCACACTAGGCACTAGGCTCCTCGCCCTGTCAGTCCTCTACTCCCAGACCTGACTATGGGCTCCAGGAGCAGAGGAGAGAGGGAGGGAACCCACCTGCAGGGGTGTGAGGCTCAGGCATGCTTACACACTCACACACACGCCCATGCCCACAATGCCCCAGGACCCCTACGCACAGGCAGAAGCTCCCCCAGCCATGTACCACCCAACACCTATGGTGGGACATGCATGTCCACTCCCCGAGCTGTCATAGGGAGGTCAGGATGCCGTCCTTCCGCCCCTCCAGGACCCTCTGCAGGGAGAAGTCTCCCACTCCCCAGCCATCCTCCCGGAGTCCTCCCTCCAGGTGGGAGGGTGAGGTGGGCTTCCCAGAGGGCAGGGCTGGGTCCCAAAGGAGCTAGGCGGGATGCAGCGAGGCTGGGGTCCCTAAACAGGACTGGGCTCTTCGCAGGGGAGGTGGCAGCAGGCAGGGACTGGGGGACAGAGGGGGTCAGAGCAGAGAGGGCCGGGGGTGGGAAAGCCAGAGCGGTCCAGGCTCGGGCTGTGGGCGCTGGTTCTGGCTCTGTGGAAAGGAGGGGGAGCCAGTGGTTGGGGAGGGGGCTTCGTTTTTGAAGTGGAGGTGGTTGGGGCAAAGGCTCTTTGGGGAGAAGGGCAGGGGGCTCAGGGTTTGGAGGAAGAAGAGGGGCGGGCCATAGCAGGGGCTCTGGAGGTCTCGGGAAAGTGCGCTTGGAGCAGGGACCCGGCAGGAATCTGAGGCAGAGAAGAGGGGGCGGCGGCAGCCAGGGGCTCCGACCCACCCCGGGGCGAAGGCAGGGGCTTAGCCAGGACAAAAGTATGGGGACGGCGGCGCGTCCCGGGGTCTCCAGGGTCCCAACCGTGGGACGGCGGGATCCTGAGAAGTGGAGGAAGGAGAGGGGAGGGGTCGTCCGGTCCTGGGAGAGGCAGGGG